TAGTGATTCTGTGATTCTGTGATTCTGTTAAGATTTTAAAATATTTTTTAAAATGTTTTAAAAGTTGAGAACCTTCAATAGAGAATTTTTTCATAGGAACCAAATTCGACATTTGATCCCTTTGTCCACTCTACAAACCCCATAAAATTTTGTCACAAACAAATTGTACCCTCTCCTTCTTAAAAACAAGGTAGACTTTGTTCATCACAATTTTAGCAGTAACTTGTGTTATTTTTGGTGCTCATACTGACCACGTTCCAGTATGAAGCTATCCATACTGGATACCACAGGTGATAGTCCTGAGTACTACAGTATGTCTGAGGTTTTATAAATATCAATTTATATTTATTAGCATTTCAATTTCTCAGTTGATTTACAATGCTAATTCTGTTAGGTTAATACATTAGTTTAAAGGTTGATTTTTAGTGAGATATGTCATGAAAGTGATTTAATTTATGTATACTTTTATGGTACATGGCTAACTGTTCATACAACCCATGTTTACAGTTGTGTACCATCTAGCCTTTTGCCACTGGGTGACAGCCAAAGCATGAAAACAAAAGCTCTATTCAGGAAAAGAATTCCCTGCACTGCTATATGAATATCAAGTGAATTATGCAAATTGGAACAGGAGGAGCTTAATAAAACTCTCTTTCTGACCTTTCTTATGTATAAGGAGGGAAATATGCCAAGAATCTTGAGGTAAATATCCCTGTAAAGGAACAGTAAGCACAGTAAATGCCGACCTTAACTTTCAACTGGAACACCTAATCATAAAATTCAAGGATCTTGTAAGCTGTACAAATCTACATCACAAAACCAAAGACAGCAGCAACTCTCTCAGTAAAAAGACAGTCTTTTTCTTCGCTTTTACAAAGCAGTAAGAGGGGAGAAAAGGGTAAAAAAAAGAAGTCTGAGTTCATAACAGGAATGATGGAGAGGGACAAAACAGATAAAATACAAATAATACTCTACTTCAAAGATTTTCAAAATATTTTTCATGAGAGTAAATGCACACATTTCCTTTTGGAATTACTTTCTCTAATTTAAGCTATTATTTATGATTTGAGAACAGATGTAAAAGGAGAAGGCAAAACAGGTACCTATCATACAGCACTTTAAAATGGTGCTCTGTAACTTTGAATTTTAACTTTAATAAAAACCAATTTCCTAAAGGTTTATCTGATTTTCCCCCAAATGTAAAAGCTTTACATTCTATATACTTCCTTAGTGATTTTTTTTTATATATATAGCAAATTTTAACCGTAGGATGTAACTAACCCATGGAACTCTGCGGAAAACAAAATGCCAGAATTACTAAAAATTTTTTTTTCAGTATTTAAAATGTTATGAATATGAACAGCTTACATCATATTTTCAGGTTCTGTTGCACAAGCTCCCACTGCTTTGGTGACATTCACAAGTAATGCCTGATCAGTTCCAGTAAGTAACTTCACTAGAGGTGGTATTCCACCACATTTACGAATAATAGTTCGATTTATTGGCTCTTGGCAACATTCTCCCAAAGCTCCGACGATATTTACAAGAACTTCTTCAGGCTGGTCAGTGAGCAGTCCTACCAAAGCTTCTATGACTTTATATTCCCTAAATCTAAAACATAGAAATAAAACCAAAGTTGTTATTTTCAGGATGTGACTGTTGTAAGTTTAATTTTATAATTAAAGTATAATTATAATTGAAGTATAATGTTTAATTTCTGTATGTAAAGTATCTTGATGAAATCACAATACAGGTAAACCACTTCAATCGGTTCTTTAAAGACTGACATAAAGCAGAATTTCTTACTCTATCTTTTAAGATGTATTTCTCTAACTTAGCTATCTAGGAATTTGCAGAGTAGTTTGAGAGTTTTTTAAAACTTGACATATGGATGCAACATCTATAAATAGCTGAAAACACACTGGGAGACTGGCAAGTACTGCGGCATCCTAACTTCCAGTACTTTTTACTGCTGTGTTAACAATAGCTCGAGTAGTAGTATAGCAGATCCCCTTCCACCTCTCTGAACCAAAGAATAACCCTTACTTTCATTAAATGTTAGCCTTCAGAGGGTTTGCCCTGACCAGTTCTACACCTAGTTCAGGCCTAATAAGTGCATTTCCCTAAGGAAATTTTTATGAATGACCTATCATTTTTCATGGTTCAAGCCTCTCTTTGTTCACTATAATTTGGAAGTATCCCTGTAATTTTTTTTTCAAGAGGAACCATCAACAGCATGAAAAAAAGAGCAACAAAGCAAGCAAACAATTTAACTCCCCCATTTTCTCTGGCTACTTTATCTGTGTTGCTTATCAACTGCTTCACAGATGGAATGATATGAGCTGGCTCTGTGATGGGCAGCCTACACTCTGACAGAGCTGTTGGCTCAGGCCATCTTGTGTCCAGAAGCAGTACGGCTGCTTGCATGTAAACTGGAATCTGAACAAGTCAGGCCCAGACACCTGTATCAGTTCATTGCTGAGTCAGCACAACATCTCAGCAATGTACTTCAGGTATAAGAAATATTGTGGAGTAGTTCAAAGACAACTAAGTGGCCCTGCAAGGATCATCAGCGTTTGTTAGTTCCAGCTTCATGCCAGACTCAAGCTCATCCCTCTAGATCTACTTACGAGTTTTCATATTTGAATTTGGATAGGGTTTAACTGCTTCAGACTCAGCACTACATAATACATGAATTCAGCTCAAGTGTGGAGCTGTGCCTGGCTAGTAACCTTCATGAAGCATCAAGCACTTGCCAAAGATATGCAAGTAGCCCAGCAAAAATCTGTTTGCATTTGGACAGAATTATTGGCTACAGCTATACTAATAAATAAAACAGGCTCATTCTCTAGCCCTGAGGACAAGAAACACAACATAGCATCCATATGGCTAAAATCTCTTAACCTCACAATTCAGGGTGGCCTCACCCATTCCGCCTAACAGAAATAATCTGTTGCCTGCACTGTTCCCAAGGAGTGTCTGGGCATTGCCTCGGAGAGCACTTGCTGGCACAGGCCAAACTGTGTAAGGGACTGTGACAGCAGTTAAACGGTATGGATAATTATAACATAGTGCCTGAACCCTGAAAAGTTTGGCCCTGTTTCATTTACTAGTAGAGCCATTCAGTCCATCTCATCACTGATCCAGAACCAGGATGCCTCTGTGCAGATACCCATAGCCCACAGAAAAGGAGGATAGACCCTTATGAAAAGCCAGGTCACTGTGCAATCAAGAATGCAAAAAGTAGTAGGACAGCAGTAGAGTATGTGAAGACCATGTCTCTATATACCAACAGTTTGTGATTTCATTTGGGACAGTAAAAAGCCAGACTGTAAACACTTAGTACTGGAATTCTTTCTGATTTTTATCCAGCAGTTATCTATCATATCTGCTTGTCCAGCAAAGTACACTAAAATCAGGGCTGCAGGAAGGTTACCTCTTACTGATACTCCTTCCAGCCTATGAACCTTACATTCCGTAGCAGGAAGCCTAGCACAAACTTCAGTGGAGCAGGCTTTTTTTTGAGCTAAGGTGCATGAATCTGATAAATGAATTTTAGATGAGCAGTTTGAGTATTCTCAGTCATTAAGCTGTTCATTGAAAGGTGGAGGGTGATAACTCCTGCTATCACATTCTCAGATAATCACTCAGAACCATGATACTGAGAAGTTGTAGGTACTGATGGTAGGACTCTAGTTAATTCCACTCATTTAGAAGCTGCGTGTCCAAACTAAGCTACGTTTCTGAGCCCCTTCTGTAGTCAAGGAGAGAGGAATCTAGGCTAATTATCCTATATTCCAGTACATTTCTAAAGTGGGTGGACCTAATGCATGTTAGGTATCTACCCTAGAGTGAGATAATTTGCTCTCTGTCTCTCTTGATACAAAACGTTAAAGCTGCGTGCTAAATATTCTCTCTACCATGCAGCACTGATTCCAGTTTGTAAGCTACAGAGAGGAGTGGGGATATCTGCCCACATGTCAAACATTTAATATGTGCTAGTGCACCTCCTGACTCAGTGTCCTATATCTTAAGTGTTCTTTAGAGGCACCAGTTGTTCCCATTGCCTCTTAAGAGGAACTTAACACTGTTTCCACTGTACCCCAATGAGGTCAGGTGGCAATTTTTTAAGCACTAAAAAACCTAAGTTGAAAACCCAACTGATTATGAAGTATGGTTTTGAAGAATCATGACAAAACAATTTTGAAAACAATAGAGGCCCATAAAGTCAAAACATGATAACGTAATAAATGTTTGTAAAATTAAATTGTTACTTTGACACATTTTCTCCACTGACTGCACATTTCCAGATTGCTCCTGTCACAGCTGCTAAAAGTTGTTTGTTTTCAGAGTTACCAAGCAGAACAGATAGTGGTTGTAGACCTCCATGCTGTCTAACCAGGTCGCGTGTTTCTTTATCTTCTGCACACTATACAAAAAAATTAAATATATATTATGTAAAACTTGTAAAATGAGGTCTTCAAAAGCTAGGAGTATTATGTTGTAACTAGTGAAAAATGAATACAAAATAAAGCATAAACATTTCATCAAAGTATCTCAATATGCTAACAACTCACTAAGAGAGTTTGACAGTAAACCGCTACTGTATATGCAACAGTGCTTATACTGTCACATTGTTCACCTTGTGGGCAAACAAACATAAAAAACCAAAGCAGCTCTTTGCACAGTATGCCACACCTCTTTCCATTGATAACCTGTGCAATTTAGGGCTTGCACACAAGAAGAGCAAGTAGGAACTTAATTACAATATTAAATATGCAGCTAAAATATTCTTGTAAGAATTATGCCAAAGACAATCAACATTCTTATAAAGGAATTTCTTACACATTAGAGAAATAGAAAACTAAGAAATATTAAAGAATAGAAAACTAAGAAATATTAAAAAAAGAAAACTAAGAAATATTAAAACTGGAAACCACATGAAAACAAAGGGCTAATCCTGGCTCTGATCTACTGATTATAATAATACAATTACCTTAAATATGGCACTTGCACAATGCATCTGAAGCTCCTCATGTTCACTACTCAGATTTTTCACAAGGTTCTCAACCATTCCTTCTGTTCTTATTGCAAGTCTGTAACTTGGCTAAAAAGATAAACTGCATCTTTTAAATCCTGTATATTAACAGTTAATAATATTAATCACAACAATAATACAGTGCTACAATTGTAGGCTTTGATATTGAGAAGCCTTGTACTTTATTTTAAGCACAAGTCATCTGCATGGCCTTGAAAATACTATCGATTTTCTCAAAGTTAATAAAATACATAAATTCTCTGCAGTGCTCTTCAAATCACCTGTAAAACTAGGTGCTGCAATGCCTATTTTGTAACCACACAGCTTAAACAGAATTTAAAATATTCTGAAAGGTGTCCAGATTCCCTGCTCAGAGCCAAGGAAGAAAAAGATGCTTCAGAATGGAATCAAGAAATATCCACTCATTTCATCGAGAGCCAGCAGCCAAAACAAAAGATCTATTCCTAGAACAAGGTTAGACAAACATGTTCTTAGTGATCTTTTCTTCCAAATTTTAACCCACAGGCATTAAAACAGGGGCTCGTTATTTAAAAGAAGGGAAACATCTGTGTAGGAGATGCATCTAGTGTTGTTTCCAAATTTGGCCAGATATGAAACCCTCAAAAACTTCACCTTCTCAATATAGACTTACTGAAGCTAAAATCTGCCAGGTTGCTGTGTCATGGAATATGCATAAACCTGTGTAGTTTAAGGAAAAATTTTGAAAATACAAAATGTTTTATAATGTAAAACATTCTCAAAAATCGTGTCTTCCATGTCTCAAATTCACCAAGAGAACTTATGTATATTTTTTACTTTAAGTGCAATGCACCTTTATTTTAAATATGATTCCACAAATAGAGAAATAAACATCCATCTTATATAGTGATCGTAAAAATTACTTGTATTCAAATTTAAAATCTGAACATACTCAAATTTGTGAAACTTGCCATGGAAATCTGTAAAAAAACAAACAATATTCCTTTGTTCCTTTTGCAGTCAATCAGACACCATCTTACCCAATTCACAAGAACATTGTAAACCCCCTTGCCCTGCACTGCACTGGATCTTCTTGGCCACGTCTGAAGGCCAAGCATTGTAGAATTATTACGTCCTAGCATTGTAGAATTTAAATGTACTGATTAACCAGAATATACCATCTTAAGTTGCCAAATTTATCAAGTATGATTAAAAAAACGAGAAAAAAAAGAAACTGATTAAGGATTTAATTTCTATGTATTCTATCTCCTACCCTTTCAAATAAAAAATATGTGGTCTTTACTTCATTACAAGCTGTGACCTTCTCAAAAGCAGTTTGATCACACAAAGCATCTACTTCCTGATGGGATAACTGTCCTGGTTTAAGTGACAGTTGAATATAATCACAGAATCACAGAATCGTTAGGGTTGGAAAAGACTTTTAAGATCATCAAGTCCAACCATCAACCTGACACCACCATGCCCACTAAACCATGTCCTGAAGTGCAACGTCTACCTGTTTTACCACTCTCAGTAAAGAAATTTTTCCTAATATCTAGTCTAAACCTCCCGCAGCGCAACTTGAGGCCCATTCCCTCTCACTCTATTGCTAATTACTTGGGATGAGAAAAGAGAGATCTCAGTCATCCCGTCTTTCGTATATGCTTCTTGTAGTAGCTAATTTTTTTAATAATTAGAAATAACTTAGCTATATGTGTTTACTTACCTCTGAGGCACATTCTTGTAGTGTCCCCACTACTGGGATTAAGATGTTTGCATGCGAACATTTGAGCCATCTAGCTAACAACGGAATGCCTCCAGCTTTACGGATGGCTTCTTTATTTTTTATGCTTTTGCTGCAGCTCCAGAGTGCCAAAGCCCCACAGCGTGCTATTTCCGTATCTTTTGCTTGATACGGTGTTAGACTGGTTGATCCCACTGAAATACATTTCAACAACTCAACCTAAAAAAAAATTTTTTTAATTATCTACAGGGAAGTTTGATATTACACTGCTTTTTAATGATGGCAAACACTACCACTAGAATCAGGTAAACAACATATGACGCATTCTTTGGACAAAAGTATGCATATGACAAGGGTACAAATTATAATGTCTGCTTACCAATCTCTTGATTCCTCCATGCTGCCTTACTATCCTTCGTGCTCGTTTAAATCGAGCAACATTAGCAATTGTTTCAGCTGCCAAACGTTTTAGATCTTTATCTGGAGAGTCCAATATTTTAACCATGATTTGTAAGCCCCCAAGATCTGCAATTGCATGTCTGATCAGTGTATTTTGACTAATTTCTTTCAGGATTTTTAATGAACCAATCTAAATAATGGAAGATATCAGAAGTTAAACATTACTTAAGTATACATAAACAGAAAAATTCTTTTAAATGCTGGGTTATCTAAAAAATTTTATCTTTTAAATTGAATCAGAAGAAGGAAACAGAAAGTCAAATAAATTGATTTTTTCTAAAAAATTCTTGAAAGTGAGAAAATACAGAAATGAGAAAAGAAAGAAATCAATTTTCTTTATACTATATAACTTTGAAAATTGAAAAAATATTCTAATAGAAAAGGTATATTAATTGCTCTATCAGACAAAGCTGCTTACCTGACATTTAATTTCTTCTGTATCAAGTAAATTAATTAACACTTCAAGACATCCAATGTCTCTGATGGCCAGTTGACATGTTTCTTGAGACAGATTGAAATCTCTCATTGAACACAATGCGATTACAGTAGCTGTTGGATTACCTCCCTAAAAAAAAAAGCAAATAATTAATAAAAGTGTAAAGTGCATTTAATATAAAACTTACTCTTTTCTACTAGTACTAGTAAAACTACTACTAAAGAAGAAACATGTTAGATTATTGTGATTCTATGGTGCTAAATAACACATACATAGTAAAAAAAGGAATTATCGATAAAGTCTGCAAATGGCACATAGGCTGAAGTGAGAGTGAGTAGCACAGGTGACAAATTACTAACATGGCTTGCTGTGAATGGACTAGTAAATTGGGCAGTAATTTACTCGTAGAGTACTGTGGGTTTTGTATGAGTGTTTGCAGACAGCAGAAGAACACACAGTGAAGATATAGACATTTCAGAGAAGCTATCTGCATTGGTGTTCACTCTGGAAGAAACCAAAGAAATTCCAACTGGAATCTTCCATTGTGGAGGTCATTTCAGAGGATTTTTCTGAAACTGAAGTCACTGCAGAAGTTTTTTTTAAAAAAAACCTGACACTGTGAACAATAACAAATTCCCACTATTAGATAGTATTCAACTGAGTTATAAAGGCAACAGGGTAAAATAGTTGATTCAGTAGAAGCGGCCTGTACCCTCTTGCTTCAAACTGCCTTGTTACCGCTGTCCTGGGAAAAAACAAATGTGATGTCAACTTTGAAAAGAGTTCAACGGTTATCCAAGGCCTTTTAGCCAAACATCTGTGCTGGACAAATTGGTAGATTCTAATAAAGAACAGAATTAGCAGACATCTATCTAAATATGATATTCTTGCAACAATATGATACACTTAGAGTCACCATGGATCTGTTAAGATAAGTCCTACCTTACCAAACTTACCAAGAAATGGTGATCTAGTTGATATGTCCAACTGGACTCACTAAGGATTTTGACAAAGTCCCTGCTTTTTAAAGAAACTAAGCCACTATATTGTAAGAGGAAAGGTCATAGCATGCATTGAAAAGAATGACTAAAGGATAGGAAACTGGGGATAAGAGCAAATAGGTCAATAAAGGGATGTGATTTAGTGGAGTTCCACGGAACTGTGTTGAAGTTGTGCAATTCAACACATTCATAAACACCCTGAAAAATGGAAGTAACAAAGTTCGTTGATGATTTTATGATTCAAGGTCAGTTGTGACAAACTGCTAAAGAACTTACTAAGACTAAAAGGTCAATAAAATAGCAAAAGAGAAAATGAGAAGTGATGCACATCAGAAAAAACAATCCTAACTCCATAGATGGAATGATAGGTTTTCAGCTGGCCATTAAAAATTAGAAATTATATCTTGAGGTTAGGGTAAATGGCAATCAAAAAACAAATGGAATAGAAGGACTTAGAAAAAACCAGTGAACAGAGAATGTCACTATACCACTGTATAAATCCATGGTTCACATTCACCTTTAAAAACTTCATGCAGCTCTGCAGCCTCAGTTTCAGAAAGGTTGCTATAGCACTGGAAAAGTTTCGGAGAAAAGCAGCAAAGATAATCCAAGTTTTTTTCAGTCTAGAACAGGCATGCCTGAAGGGATGTGATAGAGGTCTGCAATGTTAGGGATAGCACTGATCAGGATAGATAGGGATTGACCGTCCAATGTCTCTTTTAATACAGATATAATCTCTTTTAATAATGAAGTATAATAGGATTCAAGTTAAAAATTGATAAAGGGAGTTGGTTCTTCAAATGAGGCAACGGAGTAGTGGAACCAGTTGTGAAAGGATTCTGTGAAAGCTAAGATTTCACTGAAGGTCGGTAAAAACATAAAAATATCATTCAATTTTCAACTCCCTGAGCTAAGGTGGAGGCTTGGAGAATATTAGAAAGCTGTGTTTGCCCTGTTCTTACTTTGCCCTGGGAATTCATTTATGGTCCTGGATTTCTTCTGCCTTGGTAGAATATGAACAGAGTTTCACACTACTGTAAGTTATGCAGTAAAGTTTCCCACATCTGTGGAAATCAGAGGTCAGGACATCTGGAGTGCAAAAGATTAGCTTTCAGAAAACTTCCATTCCAATTATCCTGTCTCTCCTCCTGTTGCACTCAGGTTATTGGGATACATTGTCTTTTGATCTGCTCAATGCAGTTTTTTTAATGTCTAAATTTAAGGTCATACACTTAAAAGTAAAGAAAACAGGATATAGTTCAACGTAGGAGTTCTATCCTGGAAACCAGAGCATATAAAAAGGCTTGGGATGTTGAATATGAATTTGAGATTACAGTGTAACATTTGATTAAGAGGATTAATCTGGGGATGCATAAGTGGAAGTACTAAATAGGGACACAGGTATTATCTCTTTTTAGGCACTTGTGCAACTACTACTGAAATTCTGTGTCTAATTTTCCTTTTTACAGTGCTAGAAGGAAAGTGAAAATATGGAGATGATTCAGAGAAAAGAAATAAAAATGACTGTATGCCTGGAAAATAGTTGCATTAAGACAGACATGAGAAGCACTATTCAGTTTATTAAAAAGTAAATTAAGGTATGATTTATTCATAGTGAATAAATAAATCTATGAGGAAGAAGAACATGATCACAGAAAGCTCTAGAGTGTAGCACAGCGATTTGATTATTTGAAGTTAAAGGTACTAAAATTTAGATGAGGAGTAAAGTGCAAGTTTTTCATTGTGTAGTTAATTACCCTTCGGAAGAAATTACTTAGAGTCATTGTATATTTTCCAGCAGTGGAAATTTTTCAGTCAAGATTGGATATTTTTCTAAAAGATAAGCTCTATTTCAGTCACAGCTACTAGACTAAAAGCAAGAAAAAGATCAAAGAATATACCCTGTGGTATGCAGAAAGTTAAACCATATGATAACAATGGATTCTTTTGAATCTATAGTATAGATTTACTATTAATCAAATTAGGTATGAACCCAGCTGCACAGAAATTAGGAGGGCTGAGCTACCATGTAGCTGCAACAGAAGCTGGAGTGCATGAGCAATGCCAACTGGTGCTAATGTGGAAGTTACATCTTAGAGCACCTAGTAAATCAAACTACGCTATCCACCTCCCACATGGCTCTGAATTCCAGGGAAGTTTTGGCTCCCATTCAGATCTGAACTGTGCTGCCCAAGCCCATCTCTTTCAAATGACACTTGTGAAACTGTAAAGGACTTTGAGCCAACCCTTTCCAGAGCAAAATATTTTGCTCAACTGTGCACATCATACTGAAATACAGAATATTGAAAAACTGAGTAATATTTGCTAACATGAACAAGTAGATCTAACAAAAACATAGCATTTTGCAGCATGTATCTCAAATATAAACAGAAACAGTAAGACAACTATAAAAATTTAACATGCTCTTCAACAGATATCATAAATGTAGTAGAGAATCACAAGTGAGAAAACACATCCAAAAGGAATGTGAGAAAAATACTTGATAGAGTTTCAGATCAGTAACTTACATCAGACAAACACTTCTGCTAATCAATGAAGAGTATGTAGATGGAGCTTCATAGCCGATTTTTACTTCAATTTCTTGTAACAATAGATATCCAAAGAATTTCCCCACATAAAGTTGTTTAAATATAAAGGTAGTTCTTTAACATCTGTAACACATAGTGTCCTAAAGGAAGATTCCTACAATTTTTTCATGTTACCTTTTTTTAATCATCGTTAGCATCTTGACTTCAGAAGAAAATGAAACATGTCTAACTTTAAGAACATATTTTGATCTACTTTGTAAAATGTGTCCTAAGGAATAAAATATTGTAGCAATTTCTTAAGCGTTTTCCTAAAGAAATCAGTTTACTGACACATATCAAAGTCTAAATTATTTTTTAAAAAATCCCTAAGATATGATTCCAAAACTACCCAGAATATTCTATAGCTCAAAAGTACCCACAGCTGTACTTTTGTGAAGTTTGTGGTCTTTTCATATAGCTTAGACTTTGAGATTTACTTTGCTTTCTATTATAAAATTTTTGCAACAAGTGTTTAAGAAGAAAACTTGTGTTTTCATTATTTTACATAAATGTAAGAAGTATATTGCTAACCTGACAAGTCTCTTCTTTTGAGGATTGCTTCTCCTACAGTGAAACGACGTTTATACATAACATAGTAATTCATAATTCGCTTATCTTACATGTATAATGGTTGGCACATAACATTTAATATGGACCAGGTTTTTAAAAAATAAACAACTTTTAATTCTCTTATATTAAATAAAAAATAGAACTGTATATGAAGTACATAGATGCATTTTATTTTTTTGGCTTAAAAAATGCACACACCACTTGAACTGTTTTTAAAGTAAAACCACAATAAAATATTTTTCATATGTGCTGATGCATCAGTTCTATAAAATAAGAAATATTACTGATGGTTTCAACTATTATTTTTTGTTTCTTGAAATTATCATTACAGTAAGTCTTACACTACTTGCAGCACAGATTTTAACATGCATGGAAGTAGTTACCTCTCCATTAAATTGACATAAAATCTGCATCATGTTGTTATACCATTTGAAATCTGATAAGTTGGATGCAAAATAAACTCTACTGGCAGATCAACAATCAATTTTAAGGCTTGAAATTAAAGACAGATTTAGTTTAAAATGTGCCTCTCTTCCTATATGGTGGTATAACATATATATCCACAAATTAAATGAAAATAAAACAGTATCACTGCTACACTATCAGTAAAACATCTTCTGTGCAATGTATGTGTAATGTCTATTACGATACCCAAAGCTCACAACTGAGAATTACAGAACTACAAAGCATGTGTAGCAAAGCTTGTCTTTGTTTTGCTTTTGTTTTTGAGGTGTTTAACAGACCTTTTTTATAACACAAAAATGCACAGATTGATCTAGTTAAAACTTTTAATGTACGTATTCAAAGGCAGCTGTTTTACGCGATAATAGGACTGTACATAAATTCAGTATCTGTGAGTCCATTCCAACCTCCTGTGATGGGAGGAAGAAAAGAAAAAGATCTCTCTGAGACCTTCCCTGTAAAATGTCTCCATTACAGTAGGGTAGGGTCTGGAGCCTTTATATTCTTT